AAAGTTGTTGGGTGCTTAACATCGGGCACTTCCCGGCGCCGCAGGCGCTTCAAATTTGGCAGGATCTTGCCTTGGGGCGACAGAACACGGGGGCCGGTGCCGGTTGGCCTAAAGGTCTACGATGAGGGGGTCAAAACAGACCTCGACTGACCGGCGCTATAAATCGAAAAAAATGTGTCCACATAGGAACCTCTACATAACTCCTGAGGTCGTAGACCGACCCTCGGGCGAATTAATTAAGCATTCAAATTCTCAATGTTTTTGAAAGCCTAAGCGAAGCTGGGCAGCATGCCTAGTCTATAATATAAGCGGGCAAGTAGTGTGTCAGTCCTTCCTTCCTTCCTTCCTTCCTTCCTTCTGTCATCGCTATAGCTTTTGGAACCATAAAAGTAAACATTCGCACCATGCTGTGCTTTTCAGTGCACCGCAGTGTCTTATTATAAATATTAGAGTAGGGTTTGTTTATATAACGACATAGAGCTATTTTATAATTGCCACTGTGTTTACTCTTTTGCATAACTTAAAGAAAATATTAAATACACGCACATTGCTAAAACATATTAAAAGGATCAATGTCAAATATCTTTTTCGTTTATATTCCTAGAAAAAGTGGATACATTTTAATAACATAATAACAGTACGGTAGAAAAATCAAATTAATTTAACTCTTTTCTAATTTTGACAAAGGAGGTAATTTAAAAATACATTAAACTCACGCTAATAAAAAATGTGAATGCAAATATACGTTCGTCATAGAAGGAATTAGTGTTGCAATAATATAATTAGCAAAATGTGAATGCAAATTATTCGGATGTGTAAGAGGAAATTATTGTTAGAAAATTATAATTAGCATGGATTGATAAAAGGCAATCTTTTATTTATTTTATTCACTGAATGTAGGCCCTACTGTTTATTACTTATAATTTTTAATCAACTATTCAGCACTATTATAGACGCGTCATCACGTTCATTAGGTGCGCAATGGTTTTAGTTATGAAACTCTATTGTAAATTTTTAAAATTTAAAGTACTGGAAAAAAATGCGTGAATGGATAAAGTGAAATATTGTATTAATTAAGCATTCAAATTCTCAATGTTTTCGAAAGCCTAAGCGAAGCTGGGCAGCATGCCTAGTATTATAGATACTGCCTATTATTTATATGTCCCCGGGTGCCGACCTTAGGGGGCGCCAAAGTGGGTTGGAAAAAATTTGCGAGGGGGGGGTGGTGGAAATCGAAAGTTTTAGGGCTGGGGAGGGGAAGGGGTGCAAATCGAAAGCTTGAGGGGGGTGCAAATCACCGGAAAGGGCGCGATTTGGCGCTACGGGCTAGACTGTGAGCAATATGCCTTTATGATTGCATTTAAATTGTGTTTATGTTATGAGTGTTTTGTTTGTTTTTTCGTTGTTTTTTTTGCGTTCGTTTGTGTTGTGTTTAGTTTTGTTCTGTTCTGTTCCCAAGTTGGTACATTTAAAAAAGATTTACCGTGGCGGAGCACGGGATGCAGCTAGTGTTTCTATATTTCGCATAAAGGTTTCCATATTAACCATTCAGTTTAAGTCAATAAACGGTCACCAATAAACGAACATTTGAAACACGGTCAAAGTCAGAAAGTAGCGAAAATATAATTAAGAAGGAAAAAGGGAAGGGGCGTCACTGCCGGCTTTGACGTAAGTTTAATGCAAAGTTAAGTCCCTTGTGGCCTGGAATATTCCGCCAGTTAAAAACATGAATGACAGATGGTTTGAATTGATCTGATGGGTGACAGCTTTGAACCCTTGTCACGCCACTCGGAGGCTATACACTGTATAGAACTTTGAGTAAATACCGCGGGATGTTCAACCGAAGCTTTCAACAATGACATGGTGCTAGAGACTTGACTACACGGTCTAGGAGAGACCTATGGCTCCAGACAAGACAAGTATGTAGGGTTTAATTGAGTTGTGGTATCGCACTACAGCAGAAATGTCTAAAGTGTAGCGGGATTGTCACATTAGTGTGACATATATTGTGACGAGTTGTCACGTTAGTGTAACATATATTGTGACGTGTCACGGGGGTGTCACGTTAGTGTAACATATATTGTGACGAGTTTCCACGTTAGTATGAAGGAGTGTCGCGTCAATGTCACGGGGGTGTCACGTTAGTGTAACGGGACGCTAGGCTAGTGTCACGTTAGTGTGACGAGGTTTCACGTTAGTGTCACGTTAGTGTAACAGAGTGTCACCTTAGTATAACGCAGTGTCACGTTAGTTTGACGTGGTGTCACTACGGGAACCTGTAGTATATACTAGTCATATTTATACAAAAATGTATATAATTCACTTATAATACTGCACAAGTAGGTGAACGTAAATCTTAAGAGATGCTTGTAGTTTGATGCATGGGTTCATATCTCATGAGATACTGGTATAGCGGTTTGTTGGATAAAAGCTACAATCAACTGATGTTCAATGCATGTTTTTATGTAGTCGTTAGATATGTAAGTTTTTTTCATAAGCTATAGATAAATATATGTACATACAGTCGTACGGGAGACAACTGTGCCATATACATACAGAGATTTCTGCCAAAACGTTCAGGTCTAGTCCATTGTAACCGGTCAATTTTTATGGGTCTAAAACACATTCAGTAAGAACCAGAATGGAATCAGCATTAAATAGTTCCCAGCATTAGTTGAGTGCAGCGCTAGATCACGCGAAGATACGATTGAGAAAAAGTAATGTTATTCAACAGGGGGAGGGGGAGGGGGAGGCTTGCAGAGCAGTTTATGGATAACTAGAGTCGTTCTGTGTAGAACGTTTATAGTTTTATCCATGGGTCTCATCAAAATACAGGATCGGATGAAAACATGGTGAGACTAATAAAAAAAATTATCTTGGTAAGGTGTTCTCAAATGGTTTATACAGGGAACCGCGTTATATTTTGGTTTTCTTGGTGAATTTCTTGATGAAGGACAGTGTGTTCGTCTGTGGACACATTTACAGTAAGTCTTTAGTCGTTGAAAACAGTACTTTTCAAGGGAAATAATTAAAGACTGTTTGAATATCTTATTACAATGAAAATTAGATATTCATGCATTATTATTTGATATGCATTTATTTGCAAAGATAGAAAGGACTGGACGATATCCCACCACTAAATACATTTACAGACAAGCAAATGGACACTTTATAAAAATCCTGCAAACTTTCCCTTAGTTTACATTAAAAATGCCCAACTTTTTGTTTTTAAAGAATTAATTAATTAAGCTGTGCAAGAATTTAATTGTCTTTCGAAATAAAGCAACAAGAGGAAGCCTAGTCTTCGTGTGTTCGTCACAATTAATTGTAAGCTTAATTAGTCTGTAATTCTTACATTTTGATTGATTAATCAGCTATACATTTATAGGCTGTGAGCGAAGGAGGATTAATAGCTGTGTGGATGTGTGGGTGGATGTGTGGCTGGATGTTTGGGTGGATGTGTGTGTGGATGTGTGGGTGGATGTTTGGGTGAATATGCGAGTGGATGTGCGAGTGGGTGGATGTGTGGGTGGATTTGTGGGTGGATGTGTGGGTGGATGTGTGGGTGGGTGTGTGGGTGGATGTGTGGCTGGATGTGTGGCTGGATGTGTGGGTGGATGTATGGGTGGGTGGATGTGTGGCTGGATGTGTGGGTGGATGTATGGGTGGGTGGATGTGTGGGTGGATGTGTGGGTGGATGTGTAAATGAATGTGTGGGTGGATGTGTGGGTGGATGTGTGAATGGGTGGATGTGTAAGTAGATGTGTGAGTGGATGTGTGGGTGGATTTGTGGGTGGATGTGTGGGTGGATGTGTGGGTGGATGTGTGGGTTGATGTGTGGGTGGATGTGTGGGTTGATGTGTGAGTGGATGTGTGGGTGGATGTGTGGGTGGATGTGTGGGTGGGTGTGTGAATGGGTGGATGTGTAAGTAGATGTGTGAGTGGATGTGTGGGTGGATTTGTGGGTGGATGTGTGGGTGGATGTGTGGGTGGATGTGTGGGTGGATGTGTGAGTGGGTGGAGGTGTAAGTAGATGTGTGAGTGGATGTGTGGGTGGATTTGTGGGTGGATGTGTGGGTGGATGTGTGTGTGGATTTGTGGGTGGATGTGTGGGTGGATGTGTGGGTGGATGTGTGGGTTGATGTGTGAGTGGATGTGTGGGTGGATGTGTGGGTTGATGTGTGAGTGGATGTGTGGGTGGATGTGTGGGTGGATGTGTGGGTGGATGTGTGTGTGGATTTGTGGGTGGATCTTTGTCTTGATTTCTTAGCAAAAGCTCAACTTTTATACATTTTATCTCTGTATGTCACCCACTCCTCTCCCCCAAACACACCCACACAACCACACGTACACACGATGTACACGAATGTTACGTACAAACCACTTAGAGAATTGGTGAGTAAACACACTCGGTGTGAGTACAAACAATGGCGAGCGAGAGTGGTTAAAACAACAGAGGGGGAATTCAATGGGATAGCTGGTCTCACTTTTACTGAGTACACTAACAGGATAGTGGGGCTGCTGGGGGTAGTTTGGGATGGGGAGGGGAGCCCGTGGGCGGGGCAGCAACATACTGGTGGGGGGGGGGGCTGGTGGACGGGATGACAACCTCCTGATGGGAGGGGGCGGCTCAGGGGGGGGGGGCAGAAAACAACCTACTGGAGCCAGAGATTTTTTTTTAAGAAAAAGGATAGTTTATGACTATCCAAGTCACAAAAAAATGTTTCAAAAATATATTTCCTTTGTTAAAAAAAATATGTTCTGTTTTTAGCAAATATGTAGATTTATGTAGACTGTTGACTATTCAACAAACGAATCGGGACAACGCTGATTGTGTTAAAAAAAACTTTTAATTTCTCTATCTGCCTAGTTGTGTACCTATAAACAAACTGCAAACCCTAACTTTCACTGGTTAATTTATTGGGAAAAAAAATAAAAAAATAAACTGCCTTTTTTGTTAAACAAAATGTCTAACAACAATTTTTTTTTGTTTTCCACAGAGCAACACGTAACCCTGGTAACCAGTTGAAAGAAATTTTCTAACAGGACGTGACGTCAGAGAACACAGTCAACCAGATCTAGGCGGCTTACAAGAAGTGAGCCTCACACAACAACCTAGATCAATCTTGACCTTGCTCCAATCAACCAATCATCTGACAGTAGACAGTCACGTGACTCATGTCTCTGGTCCCTGAGCCTGCCTACGTCAGCTAGAAACACCCCCAGCGCCCCTCCCTCCGCCACCCCTCGACCATGCATTTACTGAGCCTCGTTGTCGTCGCGTACCTCCACACCTGCCTGGGCGTGTCCAGCAGTCAGGTGACCCCGCCCCTCCAGCCCACACCTAGCACGCCCAGCGATAACGAAAGCGTCAAAGACCTTCCACCAAAATCGTACCTGTCCTCCATAAAAACAAGAACGCGACGAGAACTCGAAGAGGTCAGCCTTAAGAAAAAGCTCAACGATTTGGACAACGTCAACTCGTATTTAGAACAATTGAATCTTTTCTCTACTGATCCATCCACCGACGGCAGCAGTTATGACGGCGAAGCCACAGTTCTGTCTAAAAGACCCAGACAGTTTGTGGGCAAGCGAGGGGACTATTCCCCAGACGACAAACTGCTGGACGATTTGATAGCCGACGCTTTGTTGGACTCGCTAAGCGGAGACAATTTTGGAGACGATGACGCGCGCATGAGTAAAAGACTGCGAAGCTTTGTGGGGAAACGGGGCGGGGAGTACACGTCATATCCTGATGATGACGACACAATGTCGTTCGAGAAACGTCCTCGGCAGTTCGTCGGGAAGCGAAGTCTTCTGACCTACGACGGGGAATTTATCGAAAAACGTCCTCGGCAGTTTGTGGGTAAAAGAGGAATGCTTGACTTCGGGAGCCTTTACCACACAGAAACTAAAAGACCTCGGCAATTTTTAGGGAAAAGGGATATTGATGATTTTCAAGATTTTATTTTCAACGAGGAAAAACGACCACGTCAATTTGTTGGTAAAAGAAGCCTCGCTAATTTTGATGAGAGATTTTCGGCAGAAAAGCGGCCAAGAAATTTTATAGGGAAAAGAAGTGAATTTGAACAGACTTTTATGGAGGAGAAGAGGCCCAGACAGTTTGTTGGTAAACGCGACGCTAATGACATGGATAGTCTGTTTGTTGATGAACTAGATAAACGCCCTCGTCAGTTCATCGGTAAAAGATTCTTCGGCGATTTGGATAACCTAGACACGGACAAGAGGGCGCGAACATTTGTAGGCAAACGAGATCCAGAGCTGGACGAGAACATTGAGAAGCGCGCGAGGAACTTCGTTGGCAAGCGCATGTCAGATGACGACGAAGTTTCTTTGGCGAAGCGGATACGAGATTTTGTTGGGAAGCGAAGTTTGACTGAAGAAATCGAAAACGACAAAAGGTTTCGCAACTTTGTTGGAAAACGATATTTGACGGACGATATTGAAAACGATAAGAGACTTCGCTATACCGGTGGGAAACGAAGTTTAGAGGACGATATTGAAAACGATAAAAGATTACGCAATTTCGTCGGAAAACGAAGTGTGGATGACGATATTGAAAACAATAAGAGACTTCGCTATACCGGTGGGAAACGAAGTTTAGAGGACGATATTGAAAACGATAAAAGATTACGCAATTTCGTCGGAAAACGAAATCTAGAGGACGATATTGAAAACGATAAAAGATTACGCAATTTCGTCGGAAAACGAAATCTAGAGGACGATATTGAAAACGATAAAAGATTACGCAATTTCGTCGGAAAACGAAATCTTGAGGACGATATTGAAAACGATAAAAGATTACGCAATTTCGTCGGAAAACGAAATCTAGAGGACGATATTGAAAACGATAAAAGATTACGCAATTTCGTCGGAAAACGAAATCTAGAGGACGATATTGAAAACGATAAACGTTTAAGAAACTTTGTTGGGAAAAGAGAAGATAAAAGAGCTAGGAACTTTGTGGGAAAGCGGGATGAGACGGAGGGTCAGGTGTCCAAGCGGTCAGCAGAAACAGCTGAAAACAAAGCGGCCGAGACGGCCAGATGACCGGAAGTGTGACGTGGGAGCCAACTGAGCATCCATTCTTGTTGTCCATCAAGTGGGGAGAGCCACGCCCAGATGACAACTGACAGTTCTAGACCCCGGGAGGTGGGGTGGGCGGCGGAGGCATCACTGTGAGGAGTCTGGCTTCGTACTTACAAGCTCGCCTGTACAATAAAGTTGCAAAAATGTACACATTAAACTTTTTTGTCTGCTGTTTTTATCACTCCGTGTGCAAAATTGTCAAGTCTAAATGTTCTTTGTGCTGTTTTTAATCCCTGCTTACGATAATCTTACAGTCTAAAATATCTGTGTGCCGTTCTTCATTGCCTCCATGTAAAACACTCTGTCTTGTCACGACTGTCGTAACTTTATTTTTTTTTCCCATCTTTCCAAATTTGGAGGGAAACAGCACGCATGTAGTCAACGCTGTCGTCTACATGTTTGTACTGATTTAATTAGTCAGTTAACCTTTCGATCCAAATTAGCCGTTAAATAATGGATGTGATTGAACTCAGGCGATCACTCAAGGGTGACGGTAAACGCTTAATGAGAGAATGAGTAAACTGGCCAATTAGGGAAGGATTGCAGGTCAAGTGAGTTCAACTAAGTGTGACGATTATTCAACGACTTACTTTAATTAGCTAATTAATATGTTTGTCTATATTGACGACCCAGGATGTTTTCCTGGCCAATCTACATTTGTGTAAAAAAAAATGCATAAAAAATTTCTCTGGCAACTTGGCATTTATCCAGCCTAAAAAATGTTCTGGCCAGTTTACATTTATGGAGCCGACAAAGAATATCTGACGCTTTGAGAGGACAGGGCGGTCACATGACCTGGTCAACCAGGGCTCATGGGTTCGAAACCTGGTGGTGCCATAGTTTTATGTCAGACACAAGGAATCTATGAACAAATAAATAAATAAATCATAAATAAGGAGGTCGCATATTACGACATAGAAATCCCACATACTATCTTAGGGTCTTCCACTTCATAACTGACGTAATCAGATATAGGTGGGTGCCATGTTATAGATGGGGGGTCACACAGTATAAGTAAGGGTTCCCACAGTATAAGTAAGGGGCCCACATTATAAGTAAGGGGTCCTACATTATAAGTAAATGGTTAAAGTAGTTGGGTCCCACAGTATAAGTAAGGGGTCTAACAGTATAAGTAAGCGGTCCCACACTATAATTAAGGGGTCCTACATTATAAGCGAATGGGTCAAGTAATTGGGTCCCACAGTATAAGTAAGGGGCCCACATTATAAGTAAGGGGTCCTACATAATAAGTAAATGGTTCAAGTAATTGGGTCCCACAGTATAAGTAAGGGGTCCCACATTATGAGTAAATGGGTATAAGTAAGAGGTCGTCCCCCCCCCCCCCGAAACACGTCTACCGCCCCCTCCCCCCTAAGAACAAAACAGAATTTATATAGAAAATATATACTTTTACTAGTGTCCGCCCCCCCCCCTCACGAAATTTTAGTCCGCCGGAAAAATGTCTGTAAGAAACACTGGTCAGTTCACAAAGGATCAGCAAGCCTATTTGTTGATATCTTACCAGCAATAACAAACTAATGAATTTTTTACAAGAATCTCTGCCCAATTTTCTGCAAGCTCTCAAAATACATTAAAACATAAAAACTAGTGTTAGTAACAAACTAAAACGCTATGCGCATGCCTAACGCGCATGTACTTTAACATTAATCTTCTATAGTTTCGTTTTAAAAGTCTGTTAGGAGGTGACCTGATTTCTTGTGATTCACATTTGAAACTGTGAACGGTCACATTTAAACGGACATTTGAAACGAGGTCAAAGTCCACTGACGGCCAGCGAAAATGGTTTTTTGGGGTAAAGCTCTAGAGAAAATGAGGAATTCACAGCAAGATTTGACGTAGATGAATCAAAGTTATCTCCCCTGTGGCCTGGCTATTCGACCTGTTTAAAAGATGAGTGACGGCTGGTTTGAACTGATCTGGTGGGGGGGACAGCTTTGAACCCTGGCCACGCCACTGAGGCGGTACACGGTGTAAGACATTGGGCTTGGTGCCACATGACAGTTTCATTCGCAGACTTTTATTTTTCTCCTCGATAGCAGAGTGGGTTAGGTTTAACTCCGGCTGCTGGGTAGGTTAAAGTAAGGCTCAGACTCCGGCTTTCGACCTACAGCTCCGGGAAAACTGAGAGCAGCTATGTAGATGGGTCACGTGAGTTCATAGAAAAATTGACCCCCCCCCCCCCTTTTCTCTTTTTGTCGCAAACATCCCCAAGAACCTATTTCAGGTCACTCTAAAGGTCAAAAGTAAAAAAAAATATACGTTTTTACTTACTGGTTAAACGGCTACTCAGTGACGTAACTAGGGCCAATGCGGACAGACACCTTCAGGGAAGTTGATATGACGTCATCTTGATGCTCCACTCACGTCATAAGATAAGACAGTCAAAATCTCAACTACCAAACACATACTCTCTTTATGAAACTCCATGTTGAAACACGCGAATGATAAAAACAGAACGTTAAATCAAACATAAGAAGATGGTTTTATTTAATTTGTTGTCTAGAGAGTAAGTTCCAGGCTGTCTACGAACTTGGCGCTCTGCTTGTTGGGATTATCTGGACGTGTAGCTGTGTGTTCGACTACAGGACGTTAGGTACTTTCTCGAGTTCTATTACAAGAAACGGGCTCCATACTTAGTTGAACTTTCAGTAAAGAAAACTTTGGACTGTATAATTTATTGAGATGAGTGGATCCCAGATTCGAGTTCGCATGACGTCACTGAGTCCATCAAGCTATGTTGAGTACCACTACCACTGTGGGTGAGTCGGTGTGAGAGGTTACCACTGTGGGTGAGTCGGTGTGAGATGTTACCACTACCACTGTGGGTGAGTCGGTGTGAGAGGTTACCACTGTGGGTGAGTCGGTGATTTACCACGAAAAGAACGCCAGCTTTGTTTTTAATGAACACTTATTTTTTTTTAAAACGATTTACAATGAAACAGAAACGTACAGCCTCACTCTGTTTCACCTGCCCGATTGGCTATGTCAGGTTTGAAAGGATAAATTCAATGATAATCTTTGGTGTTTACAGATATGTTTTCTTTTTGGCTTCAGGGTTAGGTAGACTTGTTGCGTTTAGTCCAACTAGAAAACAGCTACATACACAAAGAAAGGTCAGCTATATATTCAGGGCTAGGTAGACTTGGTGCGTTTAGTCCAACATTCGGATAATGATAAGCAACTAGAAAACAGCTACATACATAAAGAAAGGTCTGCTAAATATTCAGGGCTAGTTGATGTTAGTAGTCAACTTTTACAGGCAGAACAACCCATTCAATAAGAAACAAGAGGAGCACGATTAAATCAGCACTAAATAGTTCCAAGCATGCGTATCTGTAGTTCTCGTGTAGATGTGATAGATATCACAGATTGAGGAGATGTTTCAGCTTTATTTGCCGTTTCATTGAATGGCCTTCCTCTAATTATTCGTTATGTAAATCAATGAGATGAGCCTTTTTATAGCCGGCAAATGCATCTACAGGCTAGCACTGATATACTGAGAGTAGATTTTGCTGTGGGTGTGTAAAAAAAGTAAAGTTTCCCTTTCAAACTTGACAGTAGAGTTCACCTGTTTCTGTGACCTCAGAATATGAAGAGATAGTGTGGTCAGCACTATGCACAGCCGCCTCTACTTTGCTTAACGTGAGTTAGGTACTTATCGGAGTTGGGTGGACTCAGGGACGATCTACTGACTTGAACTCGGTTTCGAACTCGAGAGTTACGGGTTAGCAGTCTAGCTCTCTACCGCTAGACCACTCCGTCCCATGCTGTGGGTGTGTGCTAAAATAAAATTATTAAACACTAGTTAAATGGCCCGTTGATTGAGACATACAACGGGCGATAGGTTGACAGTGTTGTCTTTTTCTCTAAACCGAAACCAAAACCAAAAGCACAACCTAAACTTCAAATTTAACTGGAAACGAAAAATGTCATTGAAAACAGATTTTTATCCAAAATTGGCATTTTAACCGGATTTGGTAATGTATAACCTACAGAAAAACTTGACTTACTTATTAACATGTTATTTAGCATTGATTGGTCAGTTTCTTAGCCGACTGATATGACGATTTGCAATTTCCTAATGTCGTGTCACCTCAATATCCCTTTGGTCGATGGTGTAGTTAAACTCTGATCAGTTGACCATTAGACATTACAATCTTTCTTTTGTTAAATTCGCGACTAGTACCAACCCACCCCTTCCCTCTTTTTGTGAAGGCTTAGATGTGTAAATACTTTATTATATTAATCCACACGGATATGGCATTGTCTTCTTTAATACATTTATTCTGTCCCTCTCACACACCTCCCCCACCCCCACCCCATGCAGAATATTTGCTTTACTATGCAGTGGAAGAAGTTTTTGCTTTCACAGTCCTATTGATTGTGGTGTCGCCTACGCTCTCAGTCGGTGAATGATGTATCGGGTATTGAAACTACTCACTAAGACATTTTTCCCACTAGAAATTTTTCAAACGCTTCAGTTGGAGTCACCCTTCCCCCCCCCCCCCCTCCACCATTTTATGTGCTGGCTTTAATCTGTCCTCAATTAACACTATAGATGTTTAATTAGTTGTTAATACAGCTGGTTTTAGTATTGTTTTCTCTGTCAATTTGTAGGTCACTGTCTTAGTGTCATCCCTCGCAATTTGTCGTCAAATGTCAATTTGTACTTTAAAGACTGTTTAACTCTAACCAATCATAGGTGTCGTTTTGTTTGCTTGTTTGTTTGTTTGTTTGTTTGCTTGTTTGTTTGTTTGTCTGTCTGCCTGTCAATTTGTACTTTAAATATTGCTTAACTCTAACCAATCACAAGCTAGAACAAACATAGGTGTCGTTTTGTTTGTTTGTTTGTTTGTTTGTTTGTTTGTTTGTTTGTTTGTTTGTTTGTTTGTTTGTTTGTTTGTTTGTTTGTTTGTTTGTTTGTTTGTTTGTTTGTTTGTTTGTTTGTTTGTTTGTTTGTTTGTTTGTTTGTTTGTTTGTTTGTTTGTTTGTTTGTTTGTTTGTTTGTTTGTTTGTTTGTTTGTTTGTTTGTTTGTTTGTTTGTTTGTTTGTTTGTTTGTTTGTTTGTTTGTTTGTTTGTTTGTTTGTTTGTTTGTTTGTTTGTTTGTTTGTTTGTTTGTTT